TAAAAAAGTAGATCAGAGCCAAAAAAATACAATTATGCAGGCAAATTTGCCTGCAAAAGTCTACAATCTAAGGGATAGCTCTAGCTTTTTTACATGAGGTAACTAAAAAGGCAACATGCTTACCTTCTTGAAGCAACTTAAGACCTTTACATATAGCTTCTGATCCTTTATCCAGGTCATAAAGAATTTTTACAGACTTACCTTTATGTAGCTGATACTTATTATCAAAAACTCATATATTTTCACCTCGATATTGTCTTAAAAAGTTTAAAGTAGATTCATTTGCAAAAGCATCCATAGCTAGAACATGTACAGCTGACTTCAACAAATCCCACATGGTATTTTCAGATTCTCAGGCATAAACTCCACCATTCATTTGACACATAATAGCATTCACTTCATCTAAAATAACTACATAAGAACCATCTCCAAAAAGGAAAAGACAGTGTGTGCTCTCAGCCTGAACAATAATAATATCCTAATTACATATAGCTAAATCTCTTTCAACTTCTTGATAATTACATAGACGCAATCTTGCATTTTGTAACATATCAACTTTAGCTTTAGTCTCATTACTGAGAGTCTTACGATATGAAACCTAAACAAAACACGGCAGTCTGCTCACTTTTTTGGCTAAAAAATTGAGAATAATTCTTAAAGCTTTTGTTTTTCTTGTTATTACAAGTAAGCAAATTAGGATTGTAGTAGGTTCCTTACTTATGAAATCTGGATATGCTTCTGGAGCATTCTCCATTTCCTTAACATTAATATTATTTCCAGATAATTCTATGAGTAGACATGAATGTTTTATAGCCTTGGACAATCTTTCAATTAATCCCCACTTCTTGAGTTTTACTTCTAATTCAACTTTATCTGATACCTTATCAAAGCTAAGGCCCTTATGTTCTGGCTTATATTGTTTTTGACAATAACATTTAAGTATGAAACACCCATTTTGATGAATAAATCTATAGAGTTGGTCTTTTTCATATTTAATGTCATATATAGGGCATTCTTTAATAGATTGTGCTTAAAAGTTTATAAATCCCTTCTCGATTTTTTCAATTTGAAGCTATTTATATTTTGCAATAACCATATTAGCTCCTTTAACCAAGGCATTCTTATCATTGATAAATTGGGATTCTTTTACTGACTCCTTAGAAGAAAAGGTTTGTGGTCAGATCACAGAATAATTTTTTTTTAGGCTGAACCAGATAACCATCTAAATTTTTAAATCTGATTTAACAAAAGAAATGGTAGATCTTTTTATATGACCTTCCTTTGCTGATCCTAAAAGCTGAAGATTAAAATGTGTTTTAGGAAGACCGATATCAATAAATTTCAAATAAGGTTTCCCAACTAATTCTATAACCTTTTCTGTAAATCCCTTAAATTCTCTATAATCTACAAATTGGACACGAGAATAAATAATATGCCAACTACATTTCTCAGTTTTTGATAAACTTGCTAAAGCAAAAGAATTTAAGAAAGGCATATATTCTGGAATAAGGCTTAATGCATCTGCACAAACAACTAAAATTTGAGATAACAAATCTTCTCGAGTAATTTTTTTACCATCTAGAGAAGGAAGTTTAGAATTAGTAGGATCAGGCTTTTGCCTTGCATCAATATTAATTATTAAACAAAAGGGCTGGTTTCCATCAATACATTCATGGGTATCAGGTATTCTATAAACTTCAGAAGGATGATTGATCACTGTATAACCTTTTCCTGCCATCCGAATTATATATTGAGAATAAATCTCTTCAGGACGATATGCATCTAAAAGTGCAATATTGTTTCTATCAGAAGAGCTGGTATAACTATGACTCTTTAGAGTTGCCCCTTTGGGCCTAGATGCAAACTAGTATTTATAAAATATATGTTCTCTATGGTCAGGTTTATAATCAAGATTCATTAAACCTGTAAAAAGCCTTTTGCTTTATTATATTTAGCTAACTTTTGATTTAAGCACTGTTGCTGTAATGATTTATAAAAATGTTTTTTGTTTCACTAGATAAACTTATTTTATTGATTTGTATATATGTGTTGTTTGTATATATATGTTGTTTGATCTGATAAAAAGTATATGTTATTAAAACTATATTAATTGGTAGATAAATCTTTAAAATAAAATTAATTAGTTCAGAAATTTTAGCTGGATGTCAAAAAAATTATATATTTAATTGAAGTAATTATTATATATAATCATGATGATATTATACCAATGCTCATATATTTATAGAACCGGAGAAATTTGTAGTTGACGTAGTAAATCAAAAAGATGTTATATTTATCATAATTCTCCAATACCTACTCCTTGTAGAGATTGTGATGAGTCAAATAGGTCTAAATATAATGCATACAATAAACATGTGGGAAAATATAAAAGTAAAGAGAATTATGACAGAAAAAAGCAGAATGAATTATCTGCACAAATTACCAGGTTTAAGAATTATATATCTGACTTTCCTGAATTTATACACGATGTTTAATTATATACCTGGCATATGTATATATTGATTATTTTTTCTAGGACTTCTTATTTTGGAAAAATGGCACTTATGTGCCTAAGTAATGTTATATCCTCTTTGATCTCATTGATATTTTTAGTAATTTATTATATAGAGCTATAGATTTCAAGACTTTATTTCGGGAGAATGGCACTTTGTGCCTGATTGAACTTGTGTCCATTTTCTGATAAAATTACAATAACTATGACCCATTCAATTTTTGGTATAGCAATACTAATTTATAGGTAATTAATTTCGATTTGAAAAAATATATGCCATAGTTATAGTCTGTGCAAATATCCCAATTGACAATGTCAAAAGTTGCAACAAATTTCATAAATCAGTATAACTTAACCCCCCAAATGAGCATAACTGAACTTAGCAATTATGCTGAAGAATTGGTTAAACATTTGAAAGATGCAAAGGCCCATGACCATGCACAAAATCAGATCCAGAAATTAGGATTTAGTAAAGATCAAACATATGCATTAATTCCTATTCAAACTTCTGGAAGATGTGTTACAGGTCGAGATCTGGTTAAGAAACTTGATTTGTATATTAAGAAAAATGAAACCAATCTCAAACCTGAATGGATAAGCGAATTGGCCCATAATTTGGCAAAAACGAGACTCACTGTTATAGCTCAATCTTCTCTTCTTAAATTGCTCCAGAAAAAATTACACCAACTCAATGCCAATTACATTACATTAGAAGCTATATATGATCCAAACATTACTCAAAGATCAAATAAAGAACAAGTGATAAATCAGGAGCTCCGTGAAGACAAGAGATACGATTGTTCTGAATTCTTTTACTTGGAAAATGTCCAGAAAAGACTTAAGGATTGTAACATTACTAATTCCCCTACAATGCAAAATTTAATGGATATAATGATAATGTTATCTATGAGGTCGGCAGATGTTGCAAATCTTCGTATTGATTACTATAAACCATCTAATGCTAATTGGTATGATTCTAAATATTCTTGGTACTGCACTAGATATGCAAAAAATAAAAAAGATGAACCTAGATCATTAGTATCTATGAAGAAAGATCTACTACTAGCTAGAGAATTACTTATTTGGATCCAGAAAGCAATTCCTAATGAATTCACATTTTTAATAAAAGATAAAGATGGTGATGTAAATGTTCATCCAATTAATAATTTTCTAGCAATTTATGGAATAAGCTCATTGTATTTGAGAAAAATAGGATCTGACTATGCTATTATAATCCATGAAGGTAAGACTCACTCTAAATGTAACCGTCTTTGTAAGTTGGCATTAAAATACAAAATAAATTGAAAAGCATCAGATCATTACAGTATGATAAATAACAAACTAAATACTCTAGCACCTAAACAAAAAAATAGTAAGGTCGAGGATATTATTAATTTATATAAAGAAATTTCCGATGATAATAACTAATTATGCTTCTTTACTTTTACCACATCTACAGAAAATCTTTATCATCATTAGACAATTCAGAGCTCGACCCAGACCCAGATGAAGGCTAAATTTTTTATATGTCTTTAGACACTAGCTCCGCTATTCATGATTTCTAGTAAAGATTGAGCGATCCTCTCATATTAATTAATTTGTGAATAAACAGATTACCAAATCTGAAATGAGATTTCATAAAATCTGCAAATTGGTTTGTTAATACAGAAATATATTATAAAACAGAATAAATAAATAATAAATTTCAAAGACTTATCTGATTAAAGTTCGGATAAATGTATTGATTTAGATATTATATCCATTTATTTTTTAGCTATCAAATAATTTCGGGTGGTAAAAAAATAATATATAGTCAGATAAGTATGAAATGATAAGAAAAATTTTCATCATTAACCAACTCATCATAACCTATACTATGAGTAACAAACCACTTAGTGAAGGAAAACTTACCAAAAAATATCCCAAATGAGCAGAATTATTAAAAGCCTTAGGAATAAATTCTTAAAAGGTCATCCAAACTCTCTTGCAAGTAATATCACAATATGGAAGCTAAATAATTGTCATAAATGTAATAAAGAAATTTTGTTAAATCCACCTAAAGCATTTATCACATTCATGTGTGATCATATACTCCATCATGACTGTCTTGAAAAAAGTAATAAAAATAAGCAAAAAACTTGTCCTATTTGTTTCATAGATAATGAAAGAACGACATTAGCTGAAGTTCAGGATATAGATATATTAGAGGCAGTAGAAGATGAAGATGAAAAAACCTCTAATCTAATGGGAGTGGTAAGTAAATTATCCATAAATAGTGGTAAAGCTATCTCACGAAGTAAAACAAAATCCATGGAACCTGATAAAGTACAAGGTTTAATAAAAAAACTATCTATGCCAAATGAGCCAATTGATGATAATAATAGAGGAAATAAGAGCAAAGAATCAAAACCAATAACTTTACTCCAGTTATACTATAATGCAAACCAGGCAGAAAAATGTGTAACCTGTGCCTACTAAGAAGAAATAAGATGCTAGTATCTGTTTGCTAAAAAATTTGAAGAAAAAGTTAAAGAAATAAAAAATGATAACAGTAGGTACAATGATCAACAAGCTAGAGGGTTAGTATATGACAAAGTTACAACCAATCTTCTGGGATTTACAAAAGATAGTTTGGGTAAAAAAACTGCAAAGGCTAGAAATATCTACAAGTTGTTTGGAGAAAGTTATGACCCCAATGCCAAAAAAATAGTTAAGGAGATAGAAATTGAAAAAATTAAGAAAATTCGAATATATAGTACTGATTATATTTCAAAGCTCAATTTTACACAAATTTATAATATTATAAAGCATTTTAATTAGTGCAGATCGCATCCCCAAAGTTGACGCCAACGTGATATAAATATTTTTTTATTAGTAAATCATATATACATATAATTACAGTATATAATTTAATTCATAATAAAGTTTATACATATCAATACTGCAATATTGTTAAATATAGCGATAGGCATTCAATCAACATGTACAGATCTTAACCTAAGGTTTATGCATGTGAGGCAGGGCATAAACATTACAGGCTTGTATAATAAAAATTTTTAGCCACATTATATTTTTTCTGTTAATATACGTATAATAATAATGAAAAATCCGAATAACATGTATACAAATAAAAATTACTTTGAAAAGTGGCATATCTTTAGAGGATGGAAGCACGGGTGTAAGGTTTGTGACAAATGCAATCACCATTCACACCTATATTGCAAAACATGCAAAAAAGTAGTGAATAGAATATATAAGTGGTGTAAATGTGATAATTTTCTAAGAAAAGAAGCGAGAAGTGAAAGCTTCATTATTTCATAATGGTTTAAAGTTCCTGACTCATCTATTATATCCTCAAATAATTCATATAACCTTACTGTGACATCGATGTTACACCTTTTCAAGAATAAATAGTTTTAATTTTTTGGTTTTCCATACGCTTGAATAACAATCAAGAAATTTGAATAAAAATTCTGCATGCAGAGACTGTAACCTGATTTTGTGATTAGATTTAATTTTATGCTACATAGAGAAAAAAATACAATATTGTATTGTCATTTTATTATGTGACCTGTTGTACGACAATCTGATTGTTTGTATAAACTATAAAAAGGTAAATATACGACTATTTTCTGCTAAATACAGAAATAAACTTTTTTCCTCTGCAAGTCATACAACTTTTATAACACAAAAAATAAGTAACCATGTCTAATAATACTTCTTTTCCATCAGTCCAAGAATTTAATGATTGGAGCCCAGATAAAGTTATTGCTTTTCTGAAGTCTTATAATAAAGAAAAAAAGTTATTTCTTGAAGATGAAGACATTAAAATAATTGAAGATAACCAGGTTTGCAGTTCAGTCTTCCTCGAGTTGAGTATGGAAGAACTCATCAAAGATGGTTTAAAAAGAGGACTGGCCAAAATGATCATTAAGTTAATCAAAACAATTAAAGGCGAAGGACAGAGTAAGTAGTATCACGACTGCATTCGAATATTTCAAACCTATACTGCTTTCTCCACAATAATTTCATTTATTAATTTGGGCCATATACGTTTTTTCCTGTTATATAGAGCAACAGCTTCAAGGTTTGTTAATTTATGTAATCCTACTCACTAAAGCATTATATTCTTAAAAAACATGAAAATAACTAATTTTTTTCATGGTGTTTTTTTTCTTTACTGCTATCAAACGTGAAAAAAAATAACTAACTTATATGTATTATCTTCTTTATAATAGTAGCTCCCTCTATATTATTAGCACCAGGAGGTAAGTTCTAATTTTTCTAACCCTCCCTTTTTCTTTTATTCTTGCTCTTACGTTCCTACAATATTTCATTATCTTAGATATTACTCTTGAAATAATAAATCAGTTAATCCGAGGCCTGATCAGCTTTTTAATAAATTTAACTTGGCAAATTTCCTTAACGAAAGTCCTCTAGTAAAAATACTATTTGCACCTAATCATTATTTCCAATTTAATACTAGCCTGGGTGGTATAACTAAAAAAGAGCAAGATACATATTTTGTACTAAGTACAGAAGCAGAATGCACTTCACTTTATTCAAGACTTATAACACCGTTAATTTATCCTTCCTCATATGGAAAAACTGAAGACTCGTATCATTGTTTATGGGATAGTGTTATTAAAAATACAATAGAGACATTTGGGATGCATAGCGGTAGTTTGTCAAAATTGGAATTTGATTACAATATGAGTAAGAACCTCAACAGATAAATTTAGTAGTATATATTGGTCGGTATGATGCATATTAACAAAAAAATTCATAGGTCACAATTGCCCAGACATAGTGGTATTAGTAGGAAATGTTTGTCCTTTCTGAGGTGAAGAGAAGTCTCGGGAAGACTCAGGAGATCCTTCAAGTAAATTAGTTGGTAAAATAGAAGATTGGTCTTATGGAGATGCTCCATATATATTTGTATACTATGCTATTGGTGTTCAAGTCATATTGGTTATTTTGTATAAGCCTGAAAATAAAAAGAGAAAACTGAATGTTTGTTCTGAAAAAATTGCAGAATTTGATTTAGGATGTTTGTTGGATAGAATTCGCATCATGAATTTTCTTCAAAATATTTGTAAGTATCTTTATGAGCTTTAAATTATCATAAATTATAAAACACTAATTTATTATATAGTTATTTAGGTCATCTATTACCTCTTATAGTGAATTTATGCCCTCCGAGAGAATCACCAGAGTTTCAAACAATTTTTCGACCAAGTGGAACTGTTATTGAACTTGGGTATACAATTAAAAAAAAATTTGCAGATGAAAGGCAAGTTACTCATTTAAAAGAAATTTATGAAATGCTAAGCGTAAGTTCAAAAATTTCAAGAATTTTACCTTTTTTGGATACATTCTAACTATTTGTCTAGGCAAATAATATTAGATTTTCCGACAAATTAGAACATTTATCTATACATTCTGTTAATTTGGTGCCACATGGAGAACAACATGAATCACATGATCTCAAAGAATTACTGCAGACATTAATTTGTACACTAACTTGTTTAAAGGTATAGTTTAGTATTTTCACTATTATGTATATATATTATATTTATACATTTTTATCATATTCCAACTGGGTATGCATGAAATCAAGCCCAAACTGATAATGCACAGAGATGTTCGATGGCCAAATATTATTCACCATTATGACGGATATCAAAGATTTATTTTAATTGACTTTGACTATGCTGACTTTTTCCCTTCTGATGAGCCTTTAGAAGAATTTTCTGAAAGTGATCATGCTCCTGAAATGCTAAATAAAAAGCATGATTTTAAGGTTGATATATGGGGCATTGGGAACTTAATTGGGTCATGTAATATCACAGGCATTTCTTCAGAACTTTCAAGTTTCAGCACAGATTTGTGTAAAAGTAATCCAAATAGACAACCAACTACTTCAGTTGCTCTCGATCAGGTAAAAGATATGTTTAGAAAGGTGATTATTTATAACAGATTAATATATGGTTTTTTTGTTTGTAATATATCTTAACAAAGTTTAAATTTTAGTAGTTTTCAAATGATGACTGGCTAGAAAGGATTGAAACTACATAAAGCATTTGGTCTAGCCTAAATTTATAGTAAAGTTATTGAACTTTATTAAGCAGTGTTAGAAAAATAAAATTAGCATAATAGGAATAATTATTTCACCAGGTGCTTTGGGCTCTTATTGTGACTATATTGTATTTTTTGTGTTCGAAAAAAATAAAGTCTGCCAATATTTTGGGCTTTATATTTGCATGTATACGATATTTATAAGTCGAATTTCACTCATATAATCTTGCATGTGTATTCTGATAAAAAATAAAATACTATTATGAAAATTTTTTGATATCTCCCAGATGAGAATATTTTATATTTTTATATAATAAAGCTGGCCCTAGTGGCTAATTTCACATACATAATCATATTTACTTTTGCATGTGTATTTTGGGGTTTTATTACATTGTATTGATATTGATGCAATCGAAAATTTTTCTTGACATTTTTTTGACGAACATTGTTCGCTGAAATTTTTTGGCATTTTTACTTATTGTATTTAATCCAGCGATTTTTGTTATATGAATTTAAATCTTTACGATAAAGAATTGAATATATTCGCATCTTATATAAAACAATGACAGATACACAATTTACAATTATTTTGCTAAAAGAATTAAATACCAAGCTTACATTCGAGATTAGTGAACTTAGAAAAAAGTATGCCAATCTTGAATTCGAGAATACAAAATTAAAACAAGACAAAGAAGAAGTTGAAGTCAGATTCTTGAATTTAGAGCAGAGAGATAGAGAAAAAACTGATCTTATTGCTAAATTGAAACATGATGTTTTGCTAATTAAGGAGTAGAGCTCGCAAAATAGTAATAGGTACATCCCTGAACAGATAGACCTTTCTCAAAGAAAAAGTAATATCAATATACTCAACCCTGTTATAAGCCCTGCTGGTACTAGTTCCAAATTATTAGAGGATAATATCTTCACATCTAATATATTTGATAACACATCTAGTGATGAAGTGACTGCCTCTAGCAATTCTGATACATATTAGGATTCGTTAACCCCCATGTCTTCTATTTCTGCAAAAACTATATTATTGAAAGAGAAGGAAGAAAATAAATTTATGAATTTGCAGTATAAGAAACAAATTAGTAAAGAGATAATGGAGAGAATTGTAAAAAAGAGACTCCGAGAACAGAGACACTCTCAACTTCTGAGAATAATACACCTAATATTTCATGTAAACAAGATTTAATACAAGAAATATCAACATCTATCAAGGAACAAGCACAAAGTATCATTTCTTCTGAAATAAATTATATAATCAAAATTTCAGAGAACAATGTTCATCCAAATTGTGACAATTCCAAAATAACATGAGACTCAGAGACCCAAGATATTTTCTGTTTATATCAAAATGCATGCGATGCAGAAAAAGATGCAATCGAAGCTAATCAAAAAGAAATTTTGTGTTGGTGTTTCTATGCTAAAAGATTCAAAAGCATGATTAAAGATTTTATAATCAATGATAGAATTGGTGAGAAAAAAACAAAGGGTCGAGTATATAATTTTATTATCAAGCAACTCCCTGCCACTAAGCGTGGAAATTTGTGTAAGCAGACGCAAAAGGCTTTAAGGATTGACAATTTATTCAAAAAAATAAGAATGTGTAAAGTTCAATATATCAAAACTTATAGTGTGAATATTATTTCAAGATTTACTAATTTACAGATTCAAATGATTATAGACTATTTTACCAAAAAGTCTGATATAGAATATACTGATGATCAGGACAATTCTTCAGATGATTTACCTGAAGCTGAGTTAAGTGAGGAAGCCAAGAAAACTTTACCAGGAACTGAGATAAGTGTATTGCCTGAGAAAGTATTACCAGAAATTGAGATATTAAATACAAAAGCCAATGATAGTAAACCACAATCTTTAATTACTGCTTTATCCGATGATGAGCCAGAAAATTTCTCTGATGATGATAATTCCTTCAATAACAATGAAGATGATGGGAAGTTCTATAGTTTTTCTGATGACAATGATGAAGGTTATTATTATAATTTCAATACTGGTAAAACTTATACAAAATCAAAACATTGTTATTCAATTCACGCATATTAGATACAGAATATCCTGCTTTGCAGCCAATAGACATTTTATAAGCGATGCATTTATACCGAATTTATTTTTATTTTTTTTTGGTATTTTTTGATGAACATTTGTTCTTTGAAATTTTGCTACATGTATTTTCTACAATAAATACGCGATTATGCTATGAAAAGTTAATATCTAATTTGAATTGATTTACGATCATATAAAACATTAATATGGAAGAGCAAAGCGCAGAATCAAAAACTCATAAAATACTAACTCCTGAATATTTGGGATAGAAAGCTGAAATTACTGTAGTGCCAGATATTTTGATAGATGGGATTTGTTCCAAGTTGTATAAATGTTATAAGAAAGAAACTGGCCTTGATCTTTGGATAAACTCTGAATTTTCACAAATAATGACAAATATACAACCCAAAATTGATTTATTAGAATTGGCAACAGAGCAGTCTTTAGATCTTTGAAACAAGATAAGAACATTCCCTAAAGAAATAATTTATGAACAAGTTTTTAAACCTAGATCATTCGAAAATAAAGAGATCAATAAATTAGTAAAGAAATTACAACTCAATCTTTACTTTCTTTTTATTAATAGAGTGAGTTATTGCGATATATTTTACAATTTAGTACCTGAATTAGAAAAGAAAATAGATGAATTAAAAAATAAGAATATCAAAATCAAAACTGAAAATACAAAGTTAAAGTATGACAAAGAAGAAGTTGAAACTGAGAATATAAAGTTAAAACAGAATTTAGATGAATTTAAAAAAGAACTAGAGTCTAAGAAAAATCGTAAATTTTAGGAAAAATGTATCCTAATAGCTCAAGTATTACTTGGGGAAAAGCTGATAATCAAGTATCATCCTCCCTACTTGAATGGGTTGGAACTTGATGCCTTCTTCCAAAAATACTGAATTGCATTAGAAGTACAAAGGAATCAGCATCAGTTTCATAGCACTATCTGGTATAAAGATGTCAAAAAATTTGAAGATGTTGTAAATTATAATTGGCTAAAAAGATGCATATGTCAAGATAACAGAATTTTTCTCCTTGAAGTATGGTACAATGAAAAGCCAGAAATTGTTATTCCAGAAAGAATACAAAAAATTAAGTTTATTAATCAAGTATCTAAAAGCTTTGACCCATAATCAAATAATTTACAATATATATCACAGATAAGTTTTTAATATATATGTTGTAATATCAGAATTCAATCCAAATATAACAACCATAAATCATTTTTTTCATGATTATGGAGTTACCAAAAAATAGATAGTTAATTCAACTCTCTGTATATATCATGAATTTTTAACAGATCAGGAGAGGCTGGTCAGTGAAGAGTTATTATATCATAGTATACTAAAGAGTGGTTTAAATACCGCATAGCTTGATAATCTTATTGAGGACTGGAATAAAACTTATAATCAATTCGTTCAAGTTTTTAGCCAGGCCTAGTCAAAAAATAAATCACATTCTCTGATCACAGAAATAAAAAGTATGATTGTAAATAAGTTCATAAAATTTTTGTTCATGTCACTTCATGGCTATATCTTGACTAATTTTTCTGTCTATTCACACAATTGCATTAAATAAAAAATAGGAAGGCTGTGGGCCTTACTTTATTTAATATAAAAAATGTCAGAACAACAATATACAAATAAAAAAAACACATTGCAGTTGCATACTGCAGACAAAAAATATAAACTATTTATTAATTTTGATTCAACATTTCCTGCCATTCAGCAGGATTCCTATAATTATTATTATCATTTTTCTCTTCCCTTTCTAAGTTTTTTCTTGAAAGATTGTCCAAGGGTCTGCCTTCATCAACGTTATAGACATCATCTTCTAAAGAGTCATAGGTCGAATCATCTAATTTAAATAAAATATTACTACATAAGTAATCATTTATATGTTTTATTTTTTCTGACTTCGAATATATATGAAATAGTAGAGTTTTATATACTATAGCTATCTTTCCTATTATTGGTCTTGAAGGTATTAGTTTTGCTGATCTTGGAGGCATTACTTTTGCTAGTCTTGGAGGCATTATTATTGTTGGTCTTGAAGATGTTACTATTATTAGTCTTGGAGGCATTACTATTGTTAATCTTAGAGGTGGCTTTTTTATTACTACTCATTTTTCATATCTAAATACAAAAAACATGGTAAGTAAATTCGTTTTTATAGCCTCCGTTAAATGAAATAGCAAATTAAAAATAAATTACAGGCAAGTGAATCAAGTAAAAATATATATGAGCAGAAAAAAAGGTTATTGATAACCCACCTTATAAGATAAAAACCAGCCAATTTTATACTGCCTCATTTCATATTATATAGCAGATCCAAGTACAATGTACAGTACTATTGTTTCTGAAATAAGGTGTGAGTCTATGATTCATAATCTTTCAGATCTAGATCTGAAAAAATACGCGATTAGTAATTACGTTACCCTAACACAATACTGACCACACTTAACAAAGCAACTTCATTTGGTTATAAGCTCCAAATACTGAATCTATTTTGTTGTTTTATAGATAAATTAAATCCTCTTAGATTTGACGATCGCTTCTGTGAAGTGAAAAAGTTAATGATTTTCAAGATCTGGAGATTTCAAGCCCTGCATGACATATGAATTTGGGTAAAACTACTAATAAGGAATGTTATACTTATTACCCTTATAGCCTTTTTAAGTCTCATTCTTATCGTAAGATTATATAAGGTAAGAAAAGGTCTAGGCATTATTCGCATTATTTGTAATATTCATTATTAATAAAAAATTGACTGTAAAAAATGATTCTGCAGGAGAGTAACACAAAACCTTATATCACTTCTGTACTTACAATATTACTGTATTAATTTAGCATCTCTCCAGAAGTAATAAAAAAATTCTGACATATCGATATAGATAAGCTTTGAATAAAAGGCAGGTCTGTTAAGACATGTGATAATAAATACTTTATTTTTTCTAGCACAAATGTACCAGTATCGATACGTATCCATGTGATTTATTTCAGTATGGATCGGTACTGACACAATTTAATAGCCAATGATAAAAATTACATAGTTGTGTTAAACTAACACGCATTTATGTTTACAAATATTTATAGATATTTATGTATTTACACTTCTGCACTTCTGCACTTTAGTAAAAAAAATTGGGAACATGTTTGTTATAAGTATACTGGTAATAATAAAGTGTATAATGGTTATTCTAAATTTGTAGATCCAGCTTAAATATAATGTGTAAAATTATTACTGTACCTATATACCCAAATATGTTTTTTAACAAGTTATTAATAATCTAATCCTGAATATAGAAAATGTGCAATGGTTGATTTGTCATGTTCTATAATTGTGGTGCTGAATTTAGTAAACATTTTAATTATTTGTTATATAGTGTTAAATTATCGTTATAACACCAAATAAAAATTGTTAGTTGACTCGTATTAAATTATCCTAATGCTGAGTTATTTATATTATATACTACTTCATGTCAGATTTTTATATACTAAATAATAATAAGTCATGATTTATAATAAAAAGGTTATCTTAACTACAAAGTTCTGTTTTGAATTTACTTGTTTTTCTCAAAAATTTTATAAAATTGCTTACTGTATTATCATTATGTTGTTGCCAAATGTTTTATCGAAGTCTTCTAAGAGGAATTTGCATAAAAAAAAACTGCATATTATAAAAAAGACCAAAGTCGAAGACCCAGACCATTTGATTATTGAAGAAGGACACTGTTACAATGCTGAAACTAGTCATATCAAAAAAATAAACATATTTTATAATCCTCAGAAAGTAAGCTAATCGAATTTTTATACAAGCATAAATTTCAATAAAGTGTTCTATCTTTCATAGTTTCTAAGGTGTGATCATCATTCTTCTATGTGGGGCATATGCAAGATAAGGAAGGTCCAACAGACTTCCCAGGTTTTAAACCATCAGGCTACACTATGTGGAATGATATGAATGTATTCACTTAAACAAAAGATGGAATTACTATTCTTTAAGATAATCTATCATTCTTGTCTTCATAGACTAACTTACTTTTTTTATCTTTGGTCAAGCATAAAACAAAAGGAATGACATGTCTGTCTACAAAAAACCAATCTCGAGAATATATCCAATGCTTGTGGACTTCGAATGATTTTCTAGCAAGCGATCTTAAGTCAACTAACTACTCACAACCTTCTATATTTTTGAATCCAACATTTACTTTTTTTGAAAAGCTTTTAGAAAAGAAACAACAAAGAGAAAATCAAATATATAAACATAATGTAAATGCAAAATTGGGGGCAAATAAGATTTTACTGCCCCAAAGTGTCCAATCGATCCCATCCTCTTCCGAAGTACCTACTGAATTTCTAAACTTATTAGAATCAGAAATTTTTAATATATCATATTCTGATACTAGTCTTAAAACATATTCAACCCATAAGCTATGGATGGAATTTGCAAAATGGGCATACTTTAAGACTTTTAAAACTTATTACAAATAGTTTCAAGGGCACTGTCATCATTTCTGGTCAAAGATATTGCATGCACATAATCAGCAGACAAAGGCTCAAAAAAAGCCTTTAGAGCATTATGATATTTCTAAGATATTTTAACAAAACTCAAAAGATAAGCTTAACATCGCAGACAAAACAACAAAAAAGGTTATAAGTAGCATTAATCTTAGTGGATACAGACATATTCTCAAGTCCCAATGCTTTAAAAATATATTGAGCAAAACAATTATAGATTTTTATTCCCTTCCAAACTCCATGATAACAAATAGTGCCAAAGCAGTAGTAGACCATTATTATCAATACACTCTCCATAACCCACTACACCAATTCAAGGAATTTGCGAAACAAATGGCAGAGATTTTTGGTGCTTTCACAGGTAGCAATAATGAACCATATACTACAGCAAATATGGCATCTTCACACTACCAAAATCATCAAAAATGCATTAATGACCTAGTTCAAGACCTCCAACCATTATCCAATGCTATTGATAATTATTTTCAGGAAGCATATCCAATCCTATACATGAAAATGAAAAAACTAGATCTTGGTCCAAATGTTTCTAAGTCATTTGGTATCTTTCCTACTATGGCAATTAACTTTAATGCTATTTGCCAGTTCATTAGGATCTAAAAGACCACCGCAATTTACTTTGTATAGTGTGCCTACTTAGAGTATTTGAGAGTAGGCAATTGGTATTTTCCAAGCTTAAATTAGCTTTTCATATTAAACAAGGCCAGATAGTTGCCTTCCGATCCAATATCCTAGTTCATGGAAATCTACCAGTTCTTTCTAGTACACAACATAGTGTTATTTTTTTCATTCACTCAACAATGATCAAGCAAAATAGAAAATTTGGCTCCTTATTTAGCAATTCAAATTCGGATGCTAATATGGAAGTAGGTATTGATGATAATAATAAAAAAGCAAAGACATCAAAAAAACTTGTAATACAGAATAGGAAGCATTCTAAATCTTTAAAGTCAGGTTCTCAATTACCAAAAATTAAAAATTCAAGATGAAGCTATCTTGGTAAGTATAATTGCTATATTAAAAATTCTATGTGGTCATTCTTTAAATTTAATATTTATGTTTGCTTCTACTTATTTAAGATCTTGAACTGTAAGAAGAGGTTTACCAGCAAAATACAAAAATAATTAGCATTAGATTATAATCAGTTTGCTTTTTTGTATATTTTGAGTACTCAAAAAAAATGAATATCACAATTCATTAGTATATAGTTAATAAAATCTAATAGGTCTATAAGACTTGTATAATCACTAAATGAACTATAAGTCTATAAATTATCAAATATGTCAGATCTTGTTATCCTAACTATTATTGATAAAAAAGTTAAATTGCAAAAACTTATTAATAATCACCCTGGATATGATATAAAATATGTAAAGTTGTATATTTATAAATATTGTGGTATTAATAATTATCAATGATTCTTTAAGGCTGAAAGACAGTATGATACTTTATCAGTTATTCAACCAAATGAAACTCTACAGCAATGGGCTATTCGTATAAGAGTTTCTTTACAAGAGCTAGTCTCTGAAAAGAAAAGAAGCGTATATCATATACACTGTTTATATGCAAGGTTTGAAAATTCTAAGCTAGTCAATCATGATTACTACAGACCTAAAATTCACAAAACTCATATGGCAATTTGTCTTGATTGCTGGCAATTAATTCAAGTTAATGATATGAAACCAAAGAAAGTATATGCTTTTGCTCTCTATAGATATATTGAAAAGATTAAACCAGCAGATTTGAGAAAATATCATTGGAATCATGAATGTAATAAACCTAAATCTCAAGATGGTCATGCATGAATTATTCAAAATGCTTGGAGACGATTCAAAGAAAGGGAGCCATCAAATGCACAACTTGCCTGGTTGAGTTTACCAAATGATAATATTCCAGATGATGAGAAATTTCTAGGCCTAATTTCTCATAAAGTGGAAAATCCTCAAACTTGAGATCAGTTCAATCTGTGAAATGCTGAGAAAATTGCAATGTATAGGAGATGTAACTCTAATATGGTCAGCCATTTTATTAATAATAAATATGAAGAATACTATATTTTGTATGATTGGATAGGTAAAAAGAAAAACTAATTAAAAGGGTGTGGCGACCTAGTGAAGTGGTCAGGTTGTCAACCCACCAAGTGGTAGGTTGGGTGTTCAAATCCTATCGACGGCGAAAATTTGGATAATCACCTATGTAATATTCGTATTATG